TTCCTCCTTTTGAAAGGTCCAGCCCCACCCTGCTGGTGTGGAACTGGTGCATCTGCCCCCGGTTCCCGAACCGTCCGTGTAAAAGGTAGCCTTTGCGGTGTGGTCGATTGGAGCCGATGGCTCATCTCCCTTTAGCAATCCTAATGCTTGTTTGAGATGTTGATTAAACTTGTAGCGCTGGGAAATGTTGACTTGGGAGAAGTCATACTTTCTTTGGGTTGGGGCCACTCTATCCCGGCTAGCTAGTTTAACTTGAATCTCTGTAACCAACAAATAATGGTCTGAGGGAAAGCCCGTATGGAGTTTGGATCTACACGAGTTGACTGAGCTGAGCCATTGCTGTCTTACAAAGGTGTGGTCTAACCTCTGGAATCTGATTGGGTCGGGATGTGGGTCCAAACGATCCGGAGGCAGTAGGTCATCTTCCATGACATATGCCCTGATGATGGAGGCCACTTCTATGGTATCTGCCGACATGTAGTGAAGTTTGGAGTACAGCTGCTGCATGATTAAAGGATCCAAAACAAACTGGGACCAGGATGTTGGGGGGGCCGCTTTGTCCTTGTATGTGATTTGCTGATTCATATTAGGGGTCAGGTAGGAGGCTGCTTCTACCATGTTGAGGGATCTCATAGCGCTAACACACAATGACCTGTTGGAGGTGGCGGTGTGGTCGATAAATCTAGGTCCCTTCCCATAGACAAAAGGTCCTAGCACTCCCTCGTCGTTTTTATGGGAAGCTTGGAATCTTACATTGAAGTCTCCGGTAAGGTACAACGGCTCTGGCTGTGGAATTTTGCTAATGTGATCCTCCAAGGTGTCCCAAAATGGTTGTCTGTCTGCTTCTAAATCTCTCTTAGAGTGTGGTGCGTATGCCCCAACAACATGAATGTTCCCTCCCTGCTTTTTAAAGGCCAAGTGGATGAGCCTGGGATTAACTTGTATAATGTCCATCAGGTATGGCCTGATTCTTGGACTGACTATAGCTCCAACTCCTGCGTGCTTGTCCTTATGATTACCTGAGAGGATGACCAAGTGTTCTTCAGAAATGTAGGAGTAGTATGACTTGGATTTGGTCTCTGTGAGAATTAGAACGTCCAACCTATGCTCTTGCATGATCTGTAGGGAATTCTTTAGCTTGAGGGTATCCGCAAAACCTTGAACATTGAGACTGCCTACCCTTAACTTAGTTGCGTATGGCATAGGCGGTGTGGTCGGAGAGTTGGTTGCCCTGCGTTTCTTCTTTCGAACTATTCTGGTTTGCCATAGGATAGATTGTCTGAACCACTTAGCCCTATTGGGAGTGGCTTTCTTGGGCTGGAGGGGAAAAGGTGCCCGGGAGCCCGCCCCGATCACCTGCTGCTGTCTACACAGTCTACGCCACTGTCTGTAGAGTCTTCTGCGAAGCCTACGACGCGTCGCGCCCCTAGACTGCGTTGTGGTTTCTCCCTCCTGTGGGGCGCACTCTTCGTCGGCCAAAATGGCCCCCGGCGTGCCTCTGGGAGGCGGCGCTCGACTAGGTGTATAGGTTTGAATTCTATTAATTCTGTTTAATTGGGGGTGTATGCGTGAAGA